TACTTAACTATTTGATTCTCATTCGAACTGTCTATCTTGTTTTTCTCTCTCGAGCGATTGTGCCTGCTATTTCATTTGTTAACTGAGTACATCATCTGTAGCTGTGACTTTGGTTATCGAATCAATCACGCAAATTGTGTGTAATTAATATACAGCTTTCTCCGGCACTTCTACATACAATCCAGCATGTAAATGTAAGGGTCTGATGACACTTTACGCGAAAAGATTTATTCACCAACTCTTCGATTTCCCATTTTCTGAAGCTCAGTATATCCCTTGGTTCACTTAAACTCACATGATGCTTCGCTTTAGACTTGTCCCTTTCATTCCTGGCGTAGTCGCAGTTGCAAGCGAATTCCGCTGATTGTCTACCCTGCAACAGTGACTTCATATAACCTCACACTGACATCCCCCATCCCCGCACCTTTCCTCCGTCGCTCGTGAAGCCTCCGTAGTAGCTTGGCTCCGCTATTTTAGTATCGCTGCTTGGGTCAATTTCTGTTTAATTTCATCACTTTGCAGTTGCTCATACACTGTAGCTGTTACAGGCATTGGATTCATCGTTTTACTTTCATGCTGCGGGAGCTGCAGTGGACTTAGACCGACGTCTGAAGAAGCAGCGTGCGACTCCCCAAAATCGCCCTAGTCTTTGCTAACAGCCGCTTGGCTTGTGTTACTGCCGACTAGATCTTCAAGTTTGAATGACTATCAACCGAGCTGCTTTGTCTGCGTGCAAACTCGTCACCTGGATGCGAAGGGTTGGAGCGCATTACTGATAAACTAAGGGCCATTGTCGAAAACAAGTTCTTAAGGTATTGCCGGCCCGTGGCCTAAAGAATTGCAAGCGCCACTTGAAATCCGAGGGCGCGGGTTCGAGCCCGCTTAGTGGACCGGGCGACCATCGCAGTATCCTTATCCCACGCCTAACTGTTGGTGGTGGCGCGGTAGGAAAACGTCAGCACTGCGTAATGGCGTACTGGTGAAACATCTGTCTTTTTTCAGGCATTACGAACTGGGCGAATCGATTCTTATAAGCCGTAGTAGCCTTGCTCTTTTCCCCAAGTCCACTGTACTTCTTTGGGAGTTAGTCTTCCGATCGATATCATGGTACCAGCAATCCCCAGCAAAAAAGATAGTTCACTACACCGTTTAAGCGACCGATCGCCTTCACATCGTTAGATGGCATCTTATGTACAGCAGCAATTTTCTTGGAATCGACCTTGATTCCGTCGGGTATCAGCCCATACAAAAGAAAAATTGGCACTCATTTCTAAAACTAAAGCATTTGATGTATCATGTATTTCTGGACGCAATACTGCTAAGGTAGAGATTGGTGTCATTTTATTCCTCAGCCGAACAGTCTGCCATGCATGCTGAACGGTTTCGATGATCAACTGCTTTTAGTGACCGTATTTGGAAAATTTCTCCCATAAACCTTCAAACCAAAGGGTAAACGCAACGAACGATAAGGTCAGGGAAGTGCAGTGAGGGTGGTCAGGAAAGGAAACCTCATCGTGAGACACGTGTGAAAACATGGATAGATCTATCCTCCTAAAGCACCTAGTCATATCCAAACATGGTGGAGCATCCCGTGATACGATAGCGCATAGCTTTCGCTACGCAGGACCACACCCAACGGTCGCGGGTCAATGCATGGTCGCAATTTGCCGGTTTCCTTTGTGATGATTGCGACCTAAGGAATCCACTCTGTCGGCTCGTCAGCTTTGACAATCGTACTTACCGGTTTGTTTCAATTCAACACTAGACTTGTCACATAAATCTGATCGTAAGCTAACACTTCATGTGGAATTTGGAGCCATTCGACATGTGCGAGTAGCCTCGATCAGGTCGGATTTGACTCCTGGAGCGACGCTTATTGAAAGTTACGATGGTAGTTGTCTCAGCGCACAACTGGAACTGTACGATTCTGCTCCCAATCAACAAACTTATGCCACTGTACTTATTTGCTCCGTTTCTAGTCCGGCTGCTAATTGAACGCCTAAAGCTTTGCGATGACTGGTCACGGATGCATGTGACAAATTTTTCAGAAGTAGCGAACAAAATGAATCCCGTCTCCACAAGTTGTGCAGTTTCAGCTCTACGATGCACAATGTCCGAGACGCGCAGGATGTTGCGCAGTGCGGAATTCGTAGGCCTTGTTTAGTGGTAAGAAGCTTACCGATATCTTTAGCTAAGTTTTAGATTGTCTGCAGGCTAGCATCAGGTGACGTCCGCATTTGCTTAAGGCAAAATACGGTGATGGAACCACTGTCTTGTAATCGCCGCCCTGCATGAGCAGTGGGTCCCGTTGCCTCAGAAAACGTCTAGTGGCGTTGTATCAACGATTTCGAGCGTGATTCTGTCGCATAAGAAGCTGCTTGCAGCGTAGTCTCAGAAATCACTTGAACATGCCAATTCGGTAGATTAGCTCGGGAGTTTGCATCAAATTGATAATGCTAGTGCGCTCCATCGCTTGGACTTCACAGAATTCGTCGAATTCTCTGGTGAATGTCTTTAGGTCGTTCGGGTCTTCATCCCTGTCGCAGCGCATTGTTTTTTAGACGTAATGCGAGTCATCTCCGATTGCTTATCGAAACATCGCTTAGATATATCTACCCACTGTTCGTTCAGATTTACCAGTACACAGAAATTCAGACATTTTTCAAAATGGTCAGTTGCAGACTAGGCTGTGATCGACTATTTTCAACGGGCAGATGTTTGAGCAACCCGTTGAGCTCCAACCAGCCAATGCGCAGTGTTGGTTGAATTTGCCCTGATTTTCACTGACGCCATATCGCAGAAGTTGGCCCTTCAGGGATGAATAATTTATTCAACAATGGCAAATCAAAAAATAATCGCATGGTTGGCCGTAAATCGTTGACACAGTTAAAGAAACAATGGAGAGGCTCAATGTGGCGACTGGTGCAGTCTGTTATAATTGCTTCCGAATGGCGACTGTTCGTCGTTCGGATCCATTTTTCATTGTGAGTGCGCGCCCGTACCACAAGCCAGATATCGCATTGTAAATGCAATCATTTATACTGTTGTTTTCCAACAAGGAACTGTGCACAGAAGTGTGCGCTTGAAGGCCACGCAGTTGCACACGAACAACGCACGCTTCCTGTTAACACCTTAGAGACAATCCGTCAGTCGCCCGTTAGGTCAAGGTCGCTGCGCGTCGCGTGACCATCCGGTTAGCATAATACCGAGCAATTGAAGCACCGGAGGAAAACGGAGCACATGAAAAACAATGAACTAATCGATTTAAACTGTCACATTTGCCAAGCTACAGTCTAGGAAGCCAACAGACGATGAAAACTGTGGAAAACGAAACCCGGATAAGAGAATGGTTATAATGAATTAAACGCATTTATGCGCTTGTCACAGTGACCATTCCACAGAACAAGATAACAGTGATAGCCGGTTTTGAAAGTAAGTGAGTGCACAACAGACCACTTCTTGTCGGACATTACCTAGTTGCTCCCATTAGACGCGATGAGGCTGTGGTGAGATATAGAATTTCTGGAGGACTAATGGTTTCACGAACGAGAAATGCAGCTCAGAACCAGTAGCTGTCATGCCACCGGACGTGACTCCAATCTATGATATATTTAGCATGTTGACTGCTTGTAGAGGAAAAGCGAATCTGCCTCAGCTGGGAGAATGTAGAATCAAAAGGCTAATATCAGGGACAGTCTGATGCTCATCAATTTTTTATCGCCCAAAGCGACAAGGATGCGACGGTAAAGCGTTGAAAATGGGTGATGGTAAAATGACCACTTTTTCCCCATATCCTCAAAGTAGAGTAGCTTGATAAAACGCATCGCCATCAACTCCACAACGATGCTCAAGTATCATCCACAGAGAAGCACAAATTAGTGAAAGAAAGCGATCACGCCGATAAATACATGCCCGTGTGGTCAACTGGACATGATTCGAGAGTATAGCATGGATACCAGCGTTAAGGAAGACCGTTCAAAGTCGTTCAAGCCCATTTCCACGCCGGTAGTCCCAGCAGACGCTCGGACCAACTCAGGCTGCAGTCCATTGGTCAAGAGCAAGCCAAAGACTGCTTTCGCTCTGGAGTCGGCCAAACGCAGTGTCCTCGCCTTGGAGCAAGTCAAGGAGAGCGTTTACCGGACTTTGATGGTTTCCGGTAGCCATATAATCAGAGCCATTTTTACTGTCAACGACGCGGTATTTTCCTGTCTCAAATGAAAATTTTGCCGAGGCTTTTGTCTTTTGACCTGGGAAGTGGCTGATCCGTTAATCAAGTAGTTGTAGCGGTCATTCGTGCTATCACCGGAAACAAAACCACCAGCAGCAGTAACAAGAAGGCAAGACAAACGGGAACAATAACACCTTATCCGAACTTGAGGTTGACGAAAGGTGAGAGACAAATCGGGGAAAAGTGAGCTTAAGGCCATAAGTCATTGATTAAAAAATCATCAGCAGCACGCCGGTACGCAGTACCGACGCTACGCTGCCGCCGCGCAACCACCAAAAGTCGCACGTGGCCTAAAAGTACTGTGAGGGTCACCCGGTCCACTAGGCAGGCTCAAACCCATGCCCACGGACTACAGCAAGTCAGGCTTGTGAACCCTAAGGCTAGGGGCTCGCAAATCACTGATATAATCATTTAAAAGGACAGTGTCGACAGAAGAGCGTGAGCAGGAGTATGCACCCGTGAACAGACGACAGTATCAGTCAAACGAGCGAATGTTGAGAAAATGGAGCGTGGGATGTGATGAAATAATTAAAATTGAGTAGAAATAAACAACCATGATTCCAGTGCCGAATGCAGTGAATCGTTACTCTGAATAAAAGGGATGACCAGAAAACGATAACAAGACATCATAGCAACTAGGCGAAAAAACCAACAATCCCAGGAAAGCCCAAAACAAGAGTTATGCTAATGGAAAATTAAAATGGTCATTAAGGAAATGAATGCTGGGAAGTGCCGTGAAGGAGTTACGTGAGGCGAACGGTATGGCACCCACCTTTGAGCAGTCAGGTAAACTGAAAACGCCGGGAAAGCAGGAGAAAGAGGTTTCATGAAATCCGGAGGATGGCGTGAGTGCAGGAAGTGGAACAGATGAGGAGACAGAATGCAGACCTGGAGATAGGGAGTAACTGAACGAAGGCTGTGGACCATCCCGAAGGCTGTCGCGCGTTGGCGTAAAGGCGGAGAAACGGCTGTGAAAAGCGCACAGAGAAAAACTAAGCTGTACGAAATTGAAACAAAGGAAACAGAATCACACAATAACCAGACAAAATGTGTGGAGAGAACGCAAACGATATTTCATGATCGTAGAATGCTGCAAAAATGTGATGGGCCTAGTGTAGAAACAGAACAGTTGTTAGGCAAACGAACAAACGAAAGGCATGTTAAGAACTGCCCGTTAATAAAAATAGTGAGGCTAACAGTGTGTACACATATAACATACTTTTCCTCATCGAATGTTTAAAGTTCGTTGAGATCACAAGGGAATCATATACATTAAACCCCGATATAAGTGGAAGAATAGCGGATTGATTCAGATTCCCACAACATGAAGGTTCCAAGAAGAAAAAAGACCTAGATAGTAAGCATGTCGGAAAAAAGTAGGTTTGAAATTCGACGACAAAAGACATCAGTACAAATAGTTTCGAGAGTGATTGTACTTCGGCCGCTTGCAGGAACAGCATGACGAAAGGTTAGGCAAACTTATTCGACGTCTCCTTAACCTTAATTTGCGTCTGATCTCTAAGAAATAGCTTTGTAGTGCTTCTAAGATACAATTTCTGGGACGTCATCTCGCATAGTGAAATTCGCCCAAGCAACATCTGGGCCATGGAAGAAGCACAAACACCCAAGAACTTGACGGAACTGAAGTCTTTTTTGGAACGTGTCCTTACAATCTGCATTATCTGCGAAATTTTATGACCTAAACGGAACCATAACAAGTAATAAAGAAAGGATCTTCGTTCACTTGGGGAAGCGATCAGCGAAACGCTTTGGATGAACTGAAAGGAAGTGTTAACTCTGTTCCCTTAGTTGTCATTTATGAAGAGTCGTGTGCCATTTTTGTGTCGACTGATGCATCTGACGTTGATCTCGGTGCTGTTCTTACAGCTAAGGAATAGAGAGGAGAAAGTTATCGCTTATACACCACGGAAACCATCAGATTCTGAGCGTCATTATTCCGCTGGGGAGAATGAAGCTCTTGCTCGTGTGTGGGCTTGTGAAAAATGGTATTTCTTCTGCTCGGTTATCGTTTCACACTACGAACTGATTATTTCGCCATTACAGCACTTCCCAGCAATGAATCCAACGGATCACGTCCAACGTGAATCGATAGTTGGTATGCCAGATTCCTTAACTACGATTTTTAAATAATGTACCGGCCGGGTTTGCAAAACCAGATTAGCTCGCTTACCCTTTGGCCTGTAAAATGACAAGGACAGACTCAGAGAGGGATTGTTGGTTTCCAGCGTTGGATCCGACATATATGCCTTAAATATCAATGAACTACGAAAGGAGAATGCCAAGGATACTATACCAACTCAGCGGGTATGTGCAACAGCTGTGGCCCAAGAACAACAACTTTCCCGGTGAGTTCATTCCGTGTTGCGTAATTTGAGATGAACCATCATTGGTAATAGCTGTCTGATACGCTGTTCGTTGTTTGTAGCTCCACATTATTCGACAAACAAAGTAACCGCTTGCACAAATGATGGATACGCAGATATCGTTCGGTATATGTATTTAATAAAATTAATACATGGCCAATAAACAATTGACAGAGTGCCACAACACATGAGTAACAATAACAAAAAGGAAGAAAATAAACAGTCAGCGAGGAGGATAGGGGGGTTATGTGCTGCGTGAGCAGTGAGCTTCCCGGTTGCCCAGGCCGAGGAAGAGGGTTGACTTAAGGGACCCCACCCCGAGCCTTTAGTCTTAAAGACCTGACCCGCAAAACAGCGGAGCGATTCACGTACGTTTCTGAATACGAAGACCGGGGCTCATTCGCCTCCTTTGTGTTCGGTTGCAGTCCACACAGAAGCCGGTGGCCAGCGAGGTTGTTCATCCGCCATCCGATAGGTACACATCTCTGAGTACAGAAGCGAGTGGTCAGTGACCCTACAGCGCTGTACAAGCCCTTGTGGCAGTTGATGGAGAACCAGGTGACCAGCCCAGAACTCTCCACCCTCTGAGACGCTGCCGCTGATTGTTCGCGACGGCTTATTCATCTGGCCAGAAATTGAGCCATGAATTGCATCTAGCGTTGACATTTGTGGTGAACTGTAATACATACAGATTAGTGCAAAAACGTTCTCTGCGGGTCGGAGCGCCAACACAGCCCATTACTTACCTGAAGTCGTGGGCTGACTGCCATTGATATTATGGGTCCTTTTGCCACAGCTCCTACGAATAGGAGAACTCTACTTGTAGCAACATGTTTTCACAGCAGGTGGCCTGAAGTCCACTTGTGCGACCAAGTGACTACTTCGGTTGTGTTACGCTGGCATAAGTAATTGTTCAGTCGTTTCGTACTAGCAGAAAAGATGGTCACCGACAATGGACCGCAGTTTTGTAGTCCCGATTTCGCAAATTTCCTACAGTGTGATAACATAAAACATGCCAGAACAACACCGTGCAATCCTGCGGTCAATGGTATGGTCCAGCGGCTAAACCAATCCCTCAAGGGAACCATACAGGCTATCAAATTATGAGGATCGGATTGGGATGATACTTTCTTAACTGCTGTAGTTTCTTACAGAACTTGTGGTCACATTGCTACAGGAGCTGGTGTTAGGAAGACTTACGCACTAGGCTAAGTGCTGCACACAAGCTATCATTGGTGGGAGGTGCGGAAATTTCGAATCGCAGATCGCGTTAAAAAACGGGCTACACCGAAAGGTCTGCCAACGCCATCCGCACCACTGAGAATCAAGCAGAGACTTGGTCCAGGGATCTGTGGATTGGAAAACGGCCTAATAGATAGTGCATGTCGATTATACAAGGCTTATGGGCCAACTACGCAGTCTCAACAAACTAAGTGTGAAGATCGCTTTAGCGAACTCAACTTCGTCGATCCACGAGAACATCGAATATCGATGATCGATACCAGCTCGCGTGACGCGGATTTTCGGAAGAGGGATGTGACCGTTGTGGACGACTGAAGTTGAGGTGCAATACTCACTTTCCATTAACTGGTTAGAATACGCTAACTCTCTTCGTATCGGTTGTGCTACATGTCAGAGTGATCGACGGGTGAAGACCGTGTTACGGGTTGTGATTACCTACTTGAGTGCCGATATACATTCCACTTTTAACTGAGACTTTCAATACAAGTGTTCGAGTACAGAGCATGTAAAATCCCCAATTATTTCAAGAGCTATGTGGGGAAGGTGATCGCACGAATCCTGCTCAACCGCCTCGTCACTCTCAGCGGCTCAAGGCTTACTGGATCACAAGCCTATCATGTAATTCGAGGACGTGGGCCCGAGCCTGTGTAGGGGACCGGGCGACACTCGCAGTATCCTTGGCCCACGTGCGACTGTTAGTGATTGCGCGGCAGCGAAGCGTTGGTACTGCGTACCGATGAACTGCTAATACCTTGACTTGTCACTCAGGTCGCCGAACCGAAGGTGGCGGAAGAGCAATGCGTATTCGTTCGGGCCGCAGCACCACAGACATAGTACACACGGCAAGTCAAATGCAAAATAAAGGCAGAGAGCGACACCAGCCATTGTACTTGCCATTTGTAGACTCTACCAAGGAGGTTACACGGTGGACCACGAGGCACTGTGTCTGGTGTCAAATAAATTTGGAGGTTTAATTGAAAGTCTGCACAGTGGTATACGAGCGAGAGTGCAGCTCTGTAGACGAACTCAGGATGACTTTGCTGTTGTCTGGTGTGAAGCAAGAGTGTTGCTTAGCCCCTGCCCTGTTTGAAGTTTATCCACATGTTACGAAGACTGGTGCAGTTAGTGCTTGTGATTATGGTGTCCGTGTGGAGAACCACGATGGCGCAGGGTTGCTGAATACCCGTCATATCGGAGCGAGAACGATGGTGTGAGTCATTCATCCGTATGTTGTTGTTTGCTGGCGACTGTGCGTTGTTCGCACACAACGCGAAGGAGTTGTAGAACATGACTTCGGCTCTCGCTTCGACAGCGTCCAAGTTCGAACTCACTATAAACACAAGCAATACACCAGTAATGGAGTCCGTAGGCCTACGCCAAATCCAGACTGCTGATGACGTGCTACGGACACCATCGAAATTTTGCTACCATGAGAACGTACTATTAACTGACTTACAGATGATGAGCAATCTGCGCACCCGCGTATCGAAGGCGGATACTGTACTTGGCAAGCTGGAATATTGTGTGTGAAAGAATCACCAGCTCACTGTTAGCACGAAGCTGATGGTGTACCGGTCGATGGTGCTGTCCGTTCTTCAATACGGCAGCGAAACTTGGACGTTGCATCGGAAGGACGTTCGTTACTTGGAGCGCTTCTGTCAACAGTGCCTACGTCGGATTCCACACATCGGCTTGGGTTAACGAGTTGCAAACAAGGTGGTGCTGCGCCACAGCGGCCTGTATGAAGTAGACTGCATTCTTCTGCTGCAGCACCCCAGTTGGCCTGGTGCATAACAGCCGCATGGATACGATGAGGATACCGAAGCAGCTACTGTGTGGACAACTTAATGCGGGGAAGCGAAATGTGGAAAACCGAAGTTACCTGAACAGGATAAGATTAAGGTGCAGGATAAAACACTAATGCATGCGGAAGAGAAACGCCGGTTGCAGAAGCGACAGACGCCGATGGAGTCGAGCACTTTGACGACGAGTGCATTGTGGTTTAGTACATGGGGCAGCAAGTACCTGTCGGCTTAGAAAGCCATCAGCGTCACCACGTGGGTCCAACACTGAAGAGGCGACGAATCTGTTGATAGGGTAATCAACATCAACGCGGCACTTGGCAAGTACGCTGCTTCAGATTCAATGTACTAAATAAGGCAAATAATACGGCCGAATTGGCAATTGTGCCACATCATCGCTGCAGTTGAGCTGACATGAGCCTGTGTGTCGAGCTACCTGAATTTAAGATGTTAGCTGTTGATTGATATCTACGTTGTGGCTGCACTTGATTTTAATGTTGACAAAGTGCCAACCTCTCAAACACACTCCACCTCTGGTTTGCGTCCTTTCTCCGAACTGAGAAATTGTGCTGCAGACGTTTCGTCACCAGCCGAGGTGACATCCTCAGTGCCTCACTGCTTAGGTCATTTGCCCATCCACAATGAGCCAACGACGCACTCAAGGAGCTTGTACCTCACATCGGCTAGTGACGACACGTCTGCAGCACAATTCCTCAGCTCAGAGAACCAAAGAAAACCAGACCGGCCAACCCGAGTTACAAGTATCCCGATTTATAGCAAACCCACCACCTCGATTACCGGCTCCAGGAGACAAATGGTCGTTGCTGGAGGAGACGGAGTGCACGGTATTTGTGACTGTGCTAGCCACAAAGAGTGGTTCATTCCAGTGTGGAACGGACTACCGACCAACCACCGCTCTGCGTAAGTCTGGTACGCATAATTCCCAAAGTATATAAAAAGGAATGCTACTGCTGTGCATGTTGAAAGAGTGTGGGAAGGCGAAGTTGAGGAAACGTGGATACAACACACATGCAGCTTGGTAGCATTCCGTCGGGCCTAGAATGGGAATAGGGTGCAGTGTAGAGAATAAGCCATCCATTACCCTCTAGAGGCGCAGGCATCTTGTGGATGACCTATAGAGGCCACACTGAAAGACAACGAGAATCAGAGGTCGTTAACTATATATATATATATATATATATATATATATATATATATATATATATATATATATATATATATATATATATATATATATATATATATATATATAGCGCAGCCACACCGGGGATATCAATCAACAGCCAATCACTTGAAACGACAATACCAAATAAAAGAAATCGAATAGTGCATACAGATACGGTGACATAACTCTTCACTAAATGAGAGTATAAAATAAATTGGGTACGAAAAAATCTGTGATAAGTTCAAGATGTCGGAAAATATATTTAAAAAATGCCACAACCGCGGAAATGTTATCGAAGTTAAGTACAATTAGCTTAAGCGACGTGGGAGAGCCTATAGATAGTCCAGGTAGAGATAATTATGAGAAAGAAAAGTATTAGGACAAAATTGCAAACCCACACCTGAAATAAAGAGACCCAGCATACAAGTACACGCATAGTAAATCAAATGCAGCGTATCTACAGACGCTGCGCCGATTGTGCCTACGTTCGCTGAAGGAACCGTCGTCGCTTCAGTGGTGGACCCGAGTGGCATCGATCATGGCTCACTAGGCCTGCCTGACTCAGGCACTAGCGACCGCACGAGCTACAGCACCATGCACTCGATGTCGATGGGGTACAACCCATCGGTTCTCGCAACGAAACGACGGAAGTTCAGTAGCCCACCATCAATACGGTGCTCCACACGAACACCGTAAGCACAAGCGGCATCAAAAGCACAAGACATCATTGCGCGAAGATAAATATTAAACTGGGCAGGAGCTAAGACACAGCCTTGTTTCACACCAAAGACAACTGCAAAGTCATCCGAGGTCTCTCCACTAAGCTGCACCCTCGCCCACATATCACCGTGCAGACATTCAACTAGACTTACAAACTTACCCAACACCAGCCACAATGCCTCACGGTTCACCGTATCAAATGCCCTGGTGAAATCAACAAAAGCAAGTACAACGGCTGGTGTTGTTCTCTGCACTTCTCCTGTAACTGATGAGCCGCGAACACCATATCTATAGTGCTGCGACCAGAACAGAATCTACACTGCTCTTTCGCCACGTAAGCTTCCACAATCTGACTGACGAGGCGGTTGTGCAGCATTTCGGCAAGCACCTTGTCCTCTACTCATCAAGTTAATGCCACGATAATTCGTGCAACATTGCTTAATCCATCTGCCCTTGTACAGTGGTAGCACAAGGGCATCCTTCAGGTCAGGAGGCACCTCCTCCTCAATCTATATGCTTTGCACCAAGTAGTGCAGCGCAGACAACAACGCGAGTCCGCGGTGTTTCAATACTTCAGGTGGGATCCCGTCGACACCGGCACACTTCCCGTTTCGCAGCTGAGCATTTGCACTGTGCGTCCGCCAGACTCGCCTTCGCATCGTGCTGCTTCAAGCCGTTCAATGTAGACCAGTCGATCTCTGAACGGTTGTTCAACAGACAGTCAAAGTGTTTCCTCCAGATCTGCATTATGTCTACAGTCTCTGTGCAGGTAGCGCCTGAACTACCATCAATCAGCGTCCTCAGCGGCTCCAACCTCGGTCCGAACACCGCATTCAAGCAGTCAAAGAATTCTTTGTGTTGGCGATGTTCGGCGTAGCATTTCATCTGCTTCGCCTTCTCCGTCCACCATGCATTTTTAATACAACGGAGCTCTCGGGTCAGTCGCCGTCGAATTCGCCCAGACTTTCTCTTCTTTTCCAAGTTAATGGGGTCTTCCACATGTGCAGCAAATGCTGCATTCTTCTCACACACCAATGCACCAATCGTCGCATTCTTCACATCAAACCAGTCAGGCCGCCTACAGTTTGCGAGCCCAATCGTCTTCCCGGCAGCAGCTGTCACCTGGTAGCGAATGTGGTGCCACAGGTCGCCCACTGTGGCTATGCAGTCCACAACACGCAGGCGTGCAGCCATCGCCTTCTTCAGCCCAATACGTTTCGCCACAGTACCGAGGGAGCGAATGTTACATTTACGCCGATTAACGGCGGGAATGCAATACAGAGATTTACGGAAATATACAGTCTTGTAATCGGATTGCCTGTTTAAAGTATGTATGGTGCTGAGTTATCTGCGGGATAATGGCTGATTATGACGCGGGGCAGTGAAAGCCGCAAGGAAGCTGTCCCGCCCATGCCGCCTTATTTTTGCACGATAGCCGGCTGTTTGTGACGGTATGTTGTTGACACAAGGTGTAGGCGCCTTGACCAAGAATGTTTGCTTAAAGCATTAAGGTTTTCAGGTAAGTCCACCTTCTCTCCCTCTTCTTATTCTTCATTTCATAGTTCCTCATGGTTGTATGGCAGCGAAGCATAAGTTCAAATGGCTGATGTACTGCTGTTGATGATGAGTGCATGGTACCACTCTTCGAGCCTAGTACGACCACAAGGACCGTGCACCCCGTCCCCTCCAGCAACGACCAACTATCTCCTAGAGACAGTATGGACGAGGTAGTGGGTAATAGACAGGTAGGCACCTTGTCAACATGCACATCAAGCGCAGACGCACCGGGGATGTCAAACAACAGCCATCACTTGAAATGACAGTAACAAACAGAATATATCTGTTAAAGAATACGGCTATGCAAACATAACTCTTCCCTAAATTAGCTTATGAAGTATGTTGGTTAGCAACGAATCCGCGATAAGTAAAAAATGTCCAGAAGTGACTCAGCAAATGCTACAAACGCAATAAAGTTAACGAATATAAGCACAATTACTGTAAGCAACGTGGAAATTTAATAGAAGATTATTCCGGTAGGCAGAACAAATCAAATGAAGTGGGATGCAATTTATCCAGATTACAAAGACCTAGTTTAAGTGTCAGTTGGTATAGCGCAACTGCGGTGAAGAAGCATCATGAAGGTAACATCAGCCTCAGCATGGGGCATATATATATATATATATATATATATATATATATATATATACACGAGTAGAGGATTAAGAGAAATGCGATTCGACTGAATGGTTCTTATATAGATAAATATATGATCAAATTATTTAATATGTGGACCGAAGAAACGAAAAGCCACCCGAATGTCGCAAGACGACAAAAGTAAATTTACCACAATAAAGATTCGACTCCAGAGGAAGTAGAAGCATCACTTTCAGAGCCGCAGGTCAGAAAGTTGTGCAAATTGGCCTCCGCTTGATGGACAACTTCAGAGACCGCAACGGAATCCAAGGGTCTACGCAACAATTCGTGATGGTTCAATACCGGCGCGAATGTGGTTGTTGTGACCGTGGAAGTTATGTGATATGCGTTACTACACGCAGACGTGGAATGAATATCGTTACTAGGTGGTGGTTTGGAAGTGGTGTCGTTGGAGAAGAGAGGATGATGCCAACTAAGCCGAGAGGATCGGTTGGCATCCGAAGGACAGCGACGCGCATTCAGCCCAAAAGCGCTGGATCGAAGTGATCGACTCACAGACACCTGCTCAACAGCGCATTTTTCTGTGGGAGTCAGTCGGACAGCAATCGGTCGAGGTAAAGTACTCCTGTGTGTCTCCAACAAATGGATGTCATTATAATTGGAATGTAAGGTGCAGAGGTGCATGTGACGTAGAGAAGAAGCGGCGCTAAATGGCCTGCAAGCGCGTTTGGCGGGAATCTGATAACTGGCAGCTAAACAACAAGCGCAATGAGAAGTGTCATGGGAGCGATTGAGTGCAGTGGAAGGGAATCGTTTGAAAGGCGCCGAGGAAGGATGTACCGCGGAAACCAACGGCGTAGACATCGGGGATTGAGAGGCGGGAAAACCTGGCGGTTTGCACACGAACACTGATGTCGGTGCGCTTAGGGAGTCTAAAACAAGTACGAAGGGGTAAAACGGATCAGATATAATGACAGTAAAGTTAAATGGGCTGCAGGACGATGGTGAATAGCCAGAAGTGTATACGCTTGAAGGAATTAGAATGAGGGCGAGTGAATGCAGATAGGGCATAAATATTAAGAAGTGGCGATGAATCTGCTATTCAGACTGGGGGCATTCTTCGGAGTAGTCTAAACTAGGCATTCTCAATCTTAATTCAGCCGTGGCCTCTTTAGGAACCTTCTCATTTCTCTTGGCCCCCCACTCTTGATCACCACAATTCCAGTAATCTGCAACGCCTAACATACGAAAACCCGTGATTTTCATTGATTATATTAGTATCTTTTGTTATGACGGGTTAATTTTTAATGTTGGTATCAGTGCTCTTTCTCTCGTAATCTTCATTTTTGAACTTTCATTGTGCGGCAACATCGAACCAATTATCCGTAAGGGCACAAACTCATCATTAACAGTTAAAACTATATTTATCTGTAAAGCATATGATGAATAGAGGTAAAGTAACTTCTTAACAACATTATTGTCGAAATATTCAAGCGAATCTTGAATCCGATGTCCTTGAGCAAGCTTGTTTATTTCCGGCTTCAAAGTTGACAGCGAAAGTCGAAGGTCTCTTCTTGTCGTGATATCCAATCTGTCTCAAGTTTTGGTAGAGAAACCACTGTAATGAATTCACAGTTAACCAAGTATGTGGATGGAAAGGCAAGGAAATATATTTCGGCTATTTCACACAGTCTAGATTAACTGATAAGAGAACCAGTCCTTATCCAAAAATCCCTTCATATCGCGTGAGTTTGGATCTTGCTAGTGAGTCACTTTGAAGGTCTATGAGACTTTCCTGGATATTAACTACAATATTGCAGATCTGTATGTCAAATGGATACAAAATCCAAATCGGGATTTCCATGTAGATCAGGTCATGAAACCTGTCTTTTATTTCTTCTCAGTTGTTATAACGGACTGGCATAAACAATCAAGTCTTGATCATTCAGCTCCTCCTTAATGGTAGCGATAATTAACAACTGTGAGTGGTATGCATGCAGTGGACTGCATACTTTTGCTGAGACTTGAGGTGGCTCGGTCATGGGTGGCGTATGATTCGACGCGGATACCGAAGGAGCTGTTAAATGGTCAGCTGAGTGTTGGGAAGCGGCATGCGAGGAAACCGAAGCTTCGTTACCAGATATGATCAAAACGAGTCTAGCACGCTCTAATGTTGAGTTCAGATGTTGGGAATTGAATGCGGTTGATCGGCGTGGATGGCGCGATCTGATCACGGAGGCAAGTTGCCGAGGTGCAGCAGAAAGCCCTGGTGCAGGCAAAGAAGCGGCAAGTGCTGAAGCGACAGGTGCCGATGGGCTGTACTGTATCGAGGTCCAGCGCATGGCGCTGTAGCACATGCGGTCGTGAGGCCAGTCGGGAAAAAAAACGAAAAGATGACGGGTGCTGCTAAGAATGTAAGCAGAACCAACGCAGCATTAGTAGGCGCATTAAATTAGATTTACTAACGGTGTGCTTGCGTGCCTATTTTGTCTTAATTTTGATCTTTTTAAGTCTTTCTAACCTCTACCTGAATAATCTTCTATTAACTTGCACACGTCGCTTAAGCTAACTGTGGTTAATTTCGTTAACGTTTTCGCGTTTGTGACATATTCTACTAAGTATATTTTATGACATCTTGAACATGGCGCGGATTTGTTGCTAGCAAATCTATTATGTATGCTAATTTAGCGGAGAGTTAAGTTGGCCTATCAGTGTGCCTTATCCGACATATGTTACTTGATATCGTCATTCCAAGTGATTGTCTGTTGCGTAACACCCCCGGTGTAGTAGCATGTTGACAAGGTGCCTACCTGTCTAGTACCCACCATCTCGCCTATACTGGCACCATAAGACAGCTAATCGCTGATGGAGGGGACGGGGTGCACGGTCCAGGTGGCCGTGCTAGGCTCAAGTAGTGGTTCCATGCACTCAGTGTGGAGCGGACTACGGTCCAGCCACCGCCTTGTGTGCGCTTGATTCCTCAAATACAGCGTACTTGTGATTACCTGTGAAGGAGTGTGGGCCGGCTCCGTTGATTAAACCTGGCTGCCATCCACATGCATCTCGGTTTTATTCCTTCGGGTCCACCCTGGATAGGGGGCGTGTGGATGGAAGTGTGGGTGGTGCAGCGCAAGACACCCATGGTCTCCTGTAAGTGCAGGCGGCATGAGGCCGTCGTAAGGAGGCCGCAATGGCACTGAAATCCGGAGCCAGACGCCGCCAACCAAATATTTGAGACTCACGCCGAGGTTGATGTTGCATTAACGATGCTTCTTCACCGCAGTTGGTTTAATCCAAGTTATACTTAATCTAGGTCTTTTTAATTTGGATAAAATCATACCACTTTGTATGGATTGTCTAACTCTGTAATTCTACTGCATATTTTGTGTCCATTTTGCGTGCCTGACTCCCTCAAATTCAATTTCGGTTGCTTGATATCCCCAGTGTGGCTGCGCTTGATGTGCATGTTGACAAGGTGCCTATCTGTCTAACACCCTCTACCTCATCTATACTGGCTCTAGGTGACAGTTCGTCGTTGCTGGATGGCACGGGGCGCACTGTCCAGGTGCCCGTGTTAGGCGCAAAGAGTGATTCTATACACATGGTTTGTGTGTGGAGCGAGCTACGACCTAACCACGGCCTTGAGTGTGCTTGATGTTCCAAACATAGCGAGCTTGTGATTGCCTGTGAAGGAGTGTGGACCGGCTCCGTTGTTGCTGAAACGTGGCTCCTATCCACATACCTCCCGGTCTTATTCCTTCAGGTTCCAATGGACATGGGGTGTGTGGATGGAGCTGTGGGTGATTCAGCACAAGTCATCCATGGTCTCTCTGCAAGCGCTGGCGCCCCGTGGCTGGCCATGGTGACAGGCAAATCCGAAACCGGATGCCGCTAACCCATGTGAATGTGTAAGTCATCATGTCGAGCGAATGTGTTACTGTTGCTATGAAAATGGATGACGTTGGTGAGTTGGGCAAGATGCTTTGGAAAGGCAAGGAGCAGTGACTTCATTTAGTGGCGAGTACTATTCGTCACGTCACAGTTTTGTTACGCAGACATTTGTGGCTTTGGATAGGGAGAACACTTGCTTATAATGGGTCATTAGAATCTTTACATCGCCAGTTAGCTTATTTGTCGTGCTGTTGTTAGTGTTAGTGCATGTTATCACGACACTTATGGCATTTGTTTAACTAGATTATCTTCATGATTTCCCTCTCGTCTTGAGGTCTTCATCGAAAACAGGTTCTTTAGGTTCATTTTGCCCGAATAATCGAAACCATGAAGAGCCGTTTCTGTTGTGGTCGATGGTGAGGAGAAAAGAACCCATCAATTGTCACTGTCACGTCGACAGAACCTAAAGAATAGATTTTTGAAATTATCTGTCGCCGTGTGCATTTTAGCAACTACGAGCGATGCAGAGCACTCGTTGCACTTTTGTTACGGAGCACGCACAGTTCAGTGAAACTTGCACAGCGTTCAGCTGTGCTCACCTCAGCAATACTATCAACATGCGGCAACTCAAACTGATAAGGTAACCGCTAAACTCTCCTCGTCGAAATCGCTGTTACGCGTCAATGCAAACTGCATGAGAGCCCCCCCTAAGCTCATCCCAGTGAGGCTGCTGTGTCGGACGCTATTGATGACGTGACTATTCTGTGCGCGTCTCGGGAACAAAGAAAGAACTACAACGAAATGTAAGATGTGCGAGATAACCTCAACTACCGGTCGTCATGGTACCGAGGGAGACTGTATAGTTCGGTGCGAAAGTTGACTTGGATAGATTGCCAGCATGGGTCCATAATTGAGAAGAGATTCTAGTGGATGGGTCTAAGAAATAAAAATTTATAACCGAAGGGAAACGTAGGAGACAAAGAAGAACCATTGGTAAAGTAAGCAGGCGTAAAATACTTCAGACAACAAACTAAGTGTCTCGTTTGGGGGTTGCACATTCCGTCTTCGAAGTAAAGGGCACCGTCAAAGTGGTCTCCGAAAACCCCTAGTAAAACGTCTGATGCTGAGCGCATTGAGAAGAAATTAGGGTTCATAAAGGTCACTGCCAAATTTTGGCGGGTTCACACTAGCTGGCTAGCGAATTCTTGGCTTGACTTGAGCGGCAAAAAAGAATAGGCGCGCCCTACTCCAATCTAACTGAGTTTACAACAGATGAATCACGATCACCCAGGCTACTCCATGCACCAATCTGAGCCGAATGTTGATACACAAATTGTCTGATCTTAATTCACTAATCTATGTGGGATAATTGTTTTGGAGGTATAAGGAAAATGTCGTCGAGAGCCGCGGAGGGGCGTAAGCTACTAACGCTGATTTTGAACCTCATCGGAAACGATACCTACGCAGTAGCGAAAATTCATGGACTATTGTTTATGCACTCTGAAGAATGGATCACACAAAACTGTGACGAAATCAAGTAAATTTTGTAGGCTTTATGTCACGCGAAAACATATCCGGAGACGCATCGATTGTGACTGGGATGTCATCACATCGTGCGGCACCGTAAGGTGGTTGAGTAGTACCTTGCGTCAGTCAAGCAGTAGATGTCTAGACGGATTCATCAGGAACGCGTGAAAATTACCTAAGCAAACGCAACCCACGCCGCAAACCGCACAGTCGAGTTGGCAGCATGCCAATGCGAGAACAAGAATAGCACAATCAATACGTGATCAGGGGCGGATGACGGTGTTGGCACGCGTCCTTAATCAAAAATCTAACAAACAACACACTGGTGCCCACTGCGTCAAGTGCTACACGTGTGTATGGTGGTAAAAACGGTGAAGAGGCACATCGGAATCGCACTCACCACGAAGCGCTCTGTGGCTGACGACGGATGAGCGCAGTACGTGGCGTCTGGCATACACGCACTACCAATGCAAACTGCCGCGTGGTGCGTTAAAAACCAATGCGGAAACCAATATGCATGGAATACTTATCGCGGTTCTCAGTGTGAATTTAGAATAGAACCTAGTGGATGAACCTCCTTAATTCACTGGAAACTGCCGTTGCATATTCGTTGCCCCATTTCACTCGGCCACAAGCGACCAGCACAGAGGGGATCACAGTCGTTAAAGCATCACATGCTTCAGTGGTGAGCTGGGAGGCAAACGAACACTTCGTTGTGACGTAAATCACCACATACCGTTTGTCAATTGGATAAAAATGCACACGTAGAGACAAAATTACCTTTGTGCAAATAGTTTCACAGTTTTTTTTAGAAACAGCATAAATGTGTACCAGAAGACATGAGCAAAGGCGCGCACGGTAGATTTCCGCGAGTTCTAGAACGGTTATGAAGGGAAGCGCAAATTTACGGCTTGCACCATAAGCGGTAACTAAAATAATAATAAAAGGAGTTCAATAACGAAAAGGAACTCACACAGTTTCCCAGAATCACTGGCTTCATCCAGTGAGGAGATGTGCTCTGTGTTCTGGAGCAGAAAAAAAAGCAAATGCGTGATCAGTGGTTGCCACTGGAGCTACTACAACGAGCATGAATTCTAGCATATTGTTGAGTAAGTTGAGACGGTCTACAATAGGAGAAAATGTAGATGGACGCAAATCAAGGGGATGACATGCAACAAAGCTCAGTGTGCTGTTGTAGAACCATTTGCCGAGGCGAATTGTAACCAAACAGACGGACAAAACTCCGGTAGACGGAAGGTAGCGCAGGATAGATAAAAATGCCTTGAACTGTACAACGGGTGACAGGGAAGAGAGACTACAGCATCACAGGTGGGTGTTAGTTTACCAGTTTGGCACGGTGCCAAAAGATGCAGGCAAAATGAGGGGGAATGGGAAGCACGAATGGGACAAAAAGTAGGTGGAGATAACAGGCACCGGTCGAACAGTAAGGATTGTAAAGCTTAGGAAACAATCCAAGAAACACTGAGGTACGTGACAGCGAATTGGATACCAGCGTGTACTGATAACATTGACGAAATAAAATTGCCGAAGTGCAGTCAGCGATGGAAGTATCAGAAACAAACCTACAGTTCCCCAACAAGAATCACGACAAATTTCGAAGAATGGGAACTGGTCTGCTGAATGAAGATAATTAGGCTTTAGCTCTGGGAGCAAGTAGTTCCCAGTACGCTTCAGTAACTGACAGTGTCCGCCCGTAGCTCAGCGGTAACGAGCATGTCCAGTAATCTTGTGGCGCGGATTCGAAGCCGAGTAGGGGTGGGCGGCCTCGCGGCATACACTGTCTGCGTGCGACTGACGTGGCAGCACGGTAGGGAAGCGCCGTTATGGCGCACAGTTGAACATCATTATATTATTATTTTGTCAGATTATTATTATCATTAACTAACAGCGTGAACAAAAATACAAACATTCAGAGAAGGTTAGAAGCAAAACACATAACAAGTCGACAAAGTTCCCTGCAAATATACGCTGCAAACACAATAAGAGAAGCACATCGAAAAACAACACTAATAAATAATACTCGTGAAGAATTCCCATGAAATCAGAAGATCACAATTGCGCGAAGAACATTCTTTTCGATAAATCTCATCAGGCATTTACAATTATAAAGCAAAATTAAATAACCGATTGATTAATGAAAGCTAGGTCTAAATTAGAAAGAACCAGGAAATCCACAGAATTTATTGGCTTGGCATGGCTGCCCATCGATCAATGTCTTAGTCAGTCGAAGTACCCCGCTCGGATATGACACACACAGTAGGTGAGGGCAGACAGATCAGCGGTGACAAATGCTGGTCGCTTGTCATGTTTAAGGTGAGTATCTCTCGCCGGAGTGCGTTCATGGCCACGTTAGGACCAAGATTTGCACCGTTGTGCGTTGTTTGCACAGTTCTGGTTTCAAAACCCTGATCGCGATGGCCTCAGCTGTTGTTAACAAGCGTTTCTTAAGTCCTTGAGAGTATCGTTTCGGGATAATATATATGACATTGCATGAGTCATTTGCTTGAGTCTGGTGTCCTGTGTCAAGCAAATGCACAAGTAGCGAACTGTTGATGTTGCTTTTGGTGCCTTTTCGTAGCGAAGCCGGGCAATGTTCAGTGATCCTTTTGGACAGGCACCTGGTTGTATGTCCGAGGTACCTTGCACCACAGGTGCAGTTGAATTGATATAGGACTGAAGATTCGGACCGGACCGGGTGTTTTCCTTTCAGGCGCTGAGAAATCAGCGGCCTAGATTCGGCAAGCATTTCATTTGTGATTATCCCACTCAAAGGAACTTGAACGTTGGCATGCTTGTGCAAATGCTGAAAGGATTGATCTTACGATGCATTCGCAACGTACAATTCTTATTTGACGGAATTTACTACCGCCAGATAGATGGTGTTGCAATGGGCTCTCCCCTAGGCCAGCTGTTGGCAGATATCTTCGTCTCGAAACTTGAGCGTGGACCACTTAGCAACCTGATCGCCCAACTCAATTCATAGTACAGATATGTGGACGACACATTCATCATCTGTGACGCTTCCACTGATAGCAACGACTTGATAGACGAATTTAACAGTGTACACCCGTCATTAAAATTTACCACTGAAACTGAAAAGGACGGGAAGCTGGCCTTCCTAGACGTGCTATTGCGCAGTCGAGAGAATGGGTCAATTGAAAGAAGCGTATTCCGAAAAGTGACGTGGGTAGGCCAGTATACCCACTTTCTCAGCTGTGTGCCACTGAGATACAAGCGAAACTTAGTCCGATGCCTCTTTTATTGCGCCAAGGCCATCTGCAGCCCTGAGACGATGGACAGTGAAACTCAGCTTATTCTCAGCACATTGCAGGAGAATGGATATCCTCCCCAGTTCATTAAAAAGCACTCCACACTGCCCCATTCTACCAATGCTGTCACTACAGTACCGAAAAAGGACGTCTTCCTTACAGTTCCTTTTAAAGGGGACATTGCTTTTGAGCTGTTGAGGAGAAAACTGTCGACCGCAATGGCTCAGACATTCCCAGCAGCCAACCCTAAATTGCTTGCCGAAACTAGACCGCTGATTTCTCAGCGCCTGAAGGATAGACACCCGGTCCGGTCCGAACCTTCAGTCCGATATCAATTCAATTGCATCTGTGGTGCAAAGTACCTCGGACATACGACCAGGTGCCTGTCCAAAAGGACCGCTGAACACTGCCCGGCTTCGCTACGAAAAGGCACCAAAAGCAACATCAACAGTTCGATACTTGGGCATTTGCTTGACACAGGACACCAGACTCAGGCAAATGACTCATTCAAAGTCATATATACTATCCCGAAACGATACTCTCAAGGACTTAAGAAACGCTTGTTAACAACAGCTGAGGCCATCGCGATCAGGGTTTTGAAACCAGAACTGTGCAAACAACGGACAAGGTGCAAATCTTGGTCCTAACGTGGCCATGAACGCACTCCAGCGAGAGATCCTCACCTCAAACATGACAAGCGACCAGCATTTGTCACCGCTGATCTGTCTGCCCTCACCTACTGTGTGTGTCTTATCCGAGCGGCGTACTTCGACTGACTAAGACATTGATCGATGGCCAGCCATGCCAAGCCAATAGATTGTGTGGATTTCGTGGTTCTTTCTAATTTAGACCTAGCTTTCATTAGCCAATCGGTTTTCTAATTTTGCTCTATAATTGTAAATGCCTGATGAGATTTATCGAAAAGAATGTTCTTCACGCAATTGTGATCTTCTAGTAGATAATAATAATCATAAGAACAGCGATCCGAGGAGACGTTCAAGAATCAAAATGCTCAGATGAGATAGTTAGTGACCCGAATCATAGAAGCGAAAGGACCGGCGAGACCGCACGAAGGTCGGCACATACAAGTGCGTGGTCAGAGTCCACGCTCGTGCTAACGTGTAATGATGATGATGATGATGACCGCACGAAGTCAAATGGGATATCCAACCACGGATTTGGCCGGTTCTGAGGAGCCAAAGAAGGAGACAGAACCAACCTAATTCAGCCTTGGTGAATTTCACCACACCTCTCGGTAGTGTCTATGACTGGCCCCTTCGTAATTTCGCTCAATTAGACGTAGTACTGACAAAAGGTTTGTACACATTCGGAATGCATGAGATCGATTCAAAGATGATTCGAGTTCAATAAGCACCTCAACGAGACACTGGAATGTCTGTTTACAACCAAATGATGAACTTATTCGGTTCTCTCATCAATACTTTGCAAGTACCGGTAGTCGTGCATGGTGAACTTCTTGACAGCCCCAGTGGGTTATACCCAGGTCTCTGACCCATACAGAAACACCGGGCGATTCGCAGCATTGCAAAGCCAGCCCTTCACCAACACCCTTACATGTCTCCGTAAGCAATACATGTCTAAACAATGCGTACAGTAACATATTTCGTGATACGACCGCTAATGATACAGTTACCCATATAAGTAAACTGGTTGACATAAGCGGTGGTTGTGATAACCGGCGGTGAGTCGGTCCTTTAAAGGTGGAGGGAACGTGCCAAAAAGCATGCAGTGCTTCGCAACAGCATGTTGAGGGGCGCTGACATAACTGCTGGGTACGAACCAAAGGGAGATACGTAGTTTACATGCTTTTGGTTTGACAGTCACTCGCCCAACAAAACTTTAACAGGTGAGTATTTCAAGGTGGAAAAATTATTTAGATCGTTTCAATCACAGAGTTGAAGTGGAGAGATAAAGTGTACGTGATGCACTCCAATTGTTGTAAGGAAAAAAAGAGATGTCTCCGCAGTACGTCGGTACGCAGTACCAACGCTTCGTTGCCGCACAAGCACAACCAGTCGCACGTGGGTTAAGGATACTGCGAGGGTAGCCAGCCCCCTACACAGGCTCGGACCCGTGACCTCGGATTACAAAGCAGGCTACGGGGAAGTTTTTCGTAGGTACACCGTGGCGGTGTGGAGATAACAGAAAAAAGAGCTCTCACCGATGTTTCTTTCAAAGAAGAAATACTATGAAAAGCAAAGGTGATCAACGGAAGTCGAGGTATCCTTCAAGTTAGCGAAGACTACCATGTGTCTAATGCACTCCGTACCGAAGCAGAAGCTAGCTTAAAGTTCAAAAGATAAATGAGCCATCGTAGTATAACGCACTTGAGGAGTTTGGAAGCGAATAGCATTAGATCAGCACCACCATGATATTCGGAAATTCTTCGGCTCTTTCGAAAGATGAGAATGATGATTGTCAAGTGCTAGTTGAAGCAATGTGTTACTGCAGGATCAACAGCCACTTGATGATCTCTTGACCCTAGATAACGAAGAACTCGAGGTAATTGATAAATTCACTTACCTCGGCAGCTGTATCAGCAACGATGGGTGTATAGCTACTGTGGTCAGTTCACGTATTACAAAAAACAGGATGGTCTTTTTGTATCTGTGACATCTTTGGCGACAGAAAGGGATTTCCCTCCGTCTAAAAGGGCGTGTTTACAAGGCCACAGTGAGGGCCGTTTTACTCTATGGAAGTGAAACTTGGCCCCT